CGCACATTCCGAAGCATTTCCCGAGTGATTCAACGACATTCGTCGACGATTCTTTGACGCAACGGCGCTGGCTGTGTTTTATAGATTTTATTTTTTAGGTATCCCCACAAAAAGAAATCAAGGGGCGATAAATCCGGTGATTGTAGAGACCACTCAATGCTGCCTCTTCTCCCAATCCAATTCCGTAGAAAACGTTGGTCCAAATACTGACGGACAATTAACGTAAAATGCGGAGGAGCACCGTCCTGTTGAAAAATCAAATGATCTTCATCATACTCAGGAACAATTTCAATAATATCAGTCAAGGCAGGGTCAATAGCGTCTTCTAGTACTTGCAAAGACATTTGGCCAGTCAAATTACCAGGTAGAAAAAAAGGACCCACCAGCCGGTCACCGAAAGTTCCAGCCCATACATTTAATTTTTTCGGTTTCTGTGTATGCACCTCGTGAAATACTCTTGGGTTTGAATCGGACCAATAGCGGCAATTGTGACGATTTATCGTCCCGTTCAAGAAAAAACTGCATTCATAAGAAAAACAAATGTTAAAAAGGAACTGTGGATCGTTCCCTGCTCGCTCACTCATTATTTCGAAAAATTGCAAACGGCGGTCATAATTATCCTCATGAAGCTCCTGGACTAAATGTATTTTGTATGGATGGAATTTATTCTCCTTCAAAATGGTTTGTATGCTAGTTCGATTGATCCCAGACATAGATGCGAGCTGCCTCGTACTTAATGTAGGATCAAGATGAACTCGTCCCAAAACTGCAACTTCACTAACTTCATTAACTATAGGTTTTCCAATGTCTCGTTTTTTATTGGCTACGTTCCCTGTCTCTTGAAATTTTTTTACTATCTCTAGAAATACTTCCTCCTGACATGTCGATCTTGATGTTGTTTATTAAATAGCTGAGCTGTTCTATTCGCACAATTATTGTTCATAAAGTAAAGCGAAATGATATCTACCCTTTCTGGAATGGAATAAACCATAGTGTTTAATTTTTAAAATCACAATTAAATAAACTGCCAACCAACGCTTCCAAATAATACTAGAAAATAATTTGGAATCCACTAATTTTACGTTCATTGTGTGTGTATAGCACTCATTTCTGTTTTTTACAATTGTGTTTTTTTACGAAAGTGATAACAAATCGCCAAAAACCAATGTAACGCAAGAAATGCTAAATTTATACCATTGGCGTACATAACTCGAATGACGTGACATTTTTACCGTTACTAATTATTGTTTGTACATAAGTTTCAACTTTAAAATCAATTTTCTTAATAAGTATTGGGTGGAATTATAAAATTTAAAGTCTGTTGTAAAGAGTATTGTAAGAGCTTTCAAAAGAAATATTACTCAACCCCCAACGCCATTTAAATATTTTGGGGTGATGCTTACCCTTGCTTGGAGATGAAAGTGGCGGAATCAAAAATACCAGCAAAGAATGTCCCCCTTTAATATAAAATCGACGGGGGGATGATGGAAAATGAATGATATTACATAAAAATATCTATGAAGGGAAAAGAAAGAACCCAATACTAAGCGTTAGAAACAATGAACACAAAAATGTAATTTAAAAGCAAAGATATAGGTACAATTACAATTGCAAGCGTTTAATAAAATGTTAAAAAAAATTCAATGTTAATGTTCATATATCAAGACAACTACCATCGTTTCATATATTCAAGATGTCATCCTACATTATATAGAGCTATTCATTGGTATAGTCTTTCTGGTCTCAATTGAAGAACCAAGAGGTTGGTAGTATGTGCCAGGTTTGGTCGCTGACGCAGCAACTCGGCATTGAAATATTTGAAAGACTTGTTCCCATATTTATTTAGCCATACCCATATACAGGTCTGGTCAAACTAAACGTGGAGGTAGTAGAAATGTATACGCCCAGTTGAAGAATGCGCGCGCGGGCAAACGGCGTACACAGACAGCCGAACTGGGCGACTGGGCAATAAATCTCAGTTGTTGGCTGGCAACGTGCCTAGCAGTGCAGTGCAGCAATGCGGAATTTGGTATGATTAAGATAAGTTTAATTTATTATAGGCACCTTTTATTAATCATTCATATTACAATTGTGAAAGGGAGAAATAAGAGGGATATCTTGTTTACTAATATTATTACAACAAGACATTTTGGAGACCTTCTGAAACGAAACAAAACGAATAAACGACATAAATAATTAAAATATGTTGTTGGCGAAATGAACATATGATAGAAATTTTCTACATATACATATACAAATTATTATAATTTTTTACCGTTAGCAGAAAACTTTTTTAGGGACGCCTATAAAACTCATTAAATTTTATGTTCAACTGACTTCGGAAAGACTTATACTACAAAAATGTATGTATAGTGAAAGTTTAACAAAGATACAAATTCAATTTGAACAAAAATAGGAGGTCTGAATTCGGTTTTTTAATGTAGTTTTAATTGAAATGCTTGTTTTGTCACTGTGATATTTGGAACATTATATAGGCCATTTATTTCAAAATTTAAATAACGACCGAATCTGTTTTGCAATATTTCTGGCCTAGTTTTATATATGTTGTAAGTAGGGTTTCAGATAACACTTACAAAATTTAGCCTGCTACTACAAATGAATAGTCTTACCTGTGTCTTGGGCGATGCAGAGTAGTTATTTTCCAGAATATAATTAGCTAAAGAATTTGTTTAGTTTTCAAAATTTTTAAAAACTGTCAACAAGATTACAAAGATACTGATTGTTTATTATTCTCTAATCAAATCAGTATTAAAAGTTTCACATTTTGCAAATCAATTTATATATGATTACAATTAAACATTAGATGTTTATTTGGAATTGTTTTCTTATAAATCATTAATTTTTCACATGTGGGCAAATACTCAGTATACGGAGAAAAGCTATACCACAAATAAATAACTTAAAACAATATATTTTCTATTACCTCCTGTTACTTAAGTAGCTGATTATTAATTCTAAAATGTTATATATTACCACGAATTTCGTGTTGGTTTTTGTATAAAATTTTATTATGGTCATTAGAAAAAGATTAAAGGCACCATCAAAGTCTGCAATATTAGGTCCATGATTTCAATGAGTCAGGTACTTATGTACTATTTGCTATTAATTATTACTATTTGGGGAATTTCATTTTCATTCATATAATTGGATGTTAATGACTAGCTGGTTTGTAGAGTAGTTTATTTAGCAAACTTAAATATTTTGGTATACAGGGTGTTTTTAAGTCGATATTATAACTTCAGGATTGGTTTAAATTATTTAAACAGATTAAAATGAACCGGGGTTTCAAAGGTACTCATTGTTGGAACTTAAGTAGGTGGTTTAACCAATTAAAAGCAAGAATTCGCCAAACTGATATACAAATATCTCAATTAGTGGTGAAGATACTGGACGACACTGTCATTGAATTTTAGGATTTCTCTGCCATGATTTTTGTGGTCATTTTTTAATCAATACTGTTTCAAAATTAAAATTAACTTACCACACAGTTGATCAAATCGAAAATAACTAAATAAAATATAAACTAAAATAAAACTATTCGTTTCACAGAAAATATTTACAGGAATGTTTTATCCAAAACACAATTCTAAAAAAATTTTAATCATCGAAAATGTAAAAAAAATCATTCCCGCAGAAATTTTCCATTACTTGAGGCGAACGGATACAACCTTTAAGAGTTTAAAAATGTTTTCGCCAATATTCTTTTTTTTAACTTTTGATTACTATACCTACATTTTTTTGAAGTTTATTTTAACTTTAGAAAAGAATAACCCAAAAATTTTTTTCAAATAAAATAGAAGATAGATTTTTTCTTTGAATTACAATAAGAAATCAAATGCTTTCAAAAATTAGTAAACAAATATTATTCCTTGAAGTGTTCTTTTATATGATTACTGGAAAACTTCTAAAGGCTTTTAAAAACTCTTATTTTAATTCTTCCTTAATCATCTTTCTTATATAATTCTTAGTATTTGGTATTACTTGATTGATATTTGAATGTAGTGTTCACTGAAAAAATACAAATTAAGGTAATCAGTGATGAAATAGGGAAAATCTATCATGCTTCGTTTGATAAAAGTGACACCACGTTTAAACAGTAACTGATAATAACTGTTTCATATCCTGAATGAATCAAATAGTTCGACTTTAAATAATTACAATTTTGTCGTACGTCTATTGAAATAAATATAAATAATATTTCCATTTGATGAACTTATATTAAATGAAAAATGAAAAATGAAATTTAAAGCATTAAAACAATAATAATTCTAAGAAATAAATTGACGATGTATTTATAACTGTATTAATGCTCATTATACATCTTATCTGATACTTTCGACACTTTTTAATTTATTACCTAATTGCTTTAATAAATTTTGTCATCATGTGGCAATGGATAAATTATTACAAAACATATTTAATGTAATAAATTTACAAAAGTGAAAGCCACTAAAAAAGGCAATAATGTCCTTTATAATATTTTTTTTATTCAAAACAATACTTTTTTCTCTGTATAGATTCAGAAAAAGTAAACATGACTTAATTCATTGTAAAAACTGACAAGAATTCCATCATTCATCATCCATTTTCATTCAAAATTAATTAAATGAGGTTTTGTTTAGTTGGAACAGATTTTTATAGTTTCCATTATTCTCTCCAACATTTCCAAGCTAACGCCAAAAGATGTAAAAATTTGAACATTGTTATGAATCAAATCTGTGCAACAAAATAAAATATAACATATATATATCAATTCAAAATATTCTAAGTTGTTTATAATAGTACTAGTAATAGAAATTTCAAAATAGAAGTAAATACCCGGAGACGTGTTAAAAAATAAGTGAGTAATAAATCTACTACGAACTGTACCTGGTAATCGAGAATGGGAGGATATTGTTGTATTTTGAATAAATATATAATATTTGATCTATAAACTCATTCTCCTAATACTAATTACCTGATAAGATAAAGTAAAACTGGAATTGTAGGTAACCATATATATTATGGCACATTAAGTTTATCTCAGGCGTCAATATCGTGTAGTACAAGTTCGTTCTTCGTTAAAAATGGCTGGTAAGTGTATTACACATTTATATATTTTTTTAAGATGCCAATAGATGAATAAATTTGATTAGTGACTCGAAGAAGCTAATTTTATTCTACTCATATGTGTTTCCATTTTATTATAAACTATCTATTTATTATTTTAATTACAAATTAACTTAATATACTTTCTTATACATAGCTTTGAAATGATTTAATTGAATAAAACTAAAAACTAGAAGCTTGATTTAAGTTAATTCATTTCTGACACAAAATGTAAAAGCAGTATAAATGCCTACTTAAATATATTTACTATTTAACTCTGCACCGTCTATTTTACGTAGTGTAAATATTTGGAACAATAAACAAAATGTGACTGGCAGTTAGACATACATTAAAAATATGAAAAATGCTTAACGGGATAACAAATTCTTAATGGATGATGAACAACGCGTAGCTTAGAAAATAATAATTAAAAATATTAAAATATTCCTTAATAGGTAATACAAAAATAGCAGAAAATGTAAGGAAAGGGGGAAGCATTCTGTAAGATACAGCCTGAACTAAAATTAATCCATTGTGAACTCTTCCAATTAAGTAAAGATTTAATATTAAAATCGGAGGTACATACTGACATACATACTTAACAGACAGCGTATCATGCGGGTTATGCTGTTAATGTTTTAAGGTTATACTTATTGTATAACTGGTTGCATAAAAATCAACGTTTTATATTTTGTTTTTCTCTTTTTGATAAATATTTTTTTAATTACATCTTAAAGAACCATATTGTATATAAAAAAATAATTTTACACTGCTTTTAAGCTCATTCAAATTGATATTCAAATCTTTTCTAAATTTTCGATAAATAAAAATGTTCAGCGTGACTCATTGTGGGTGAGACTGCAGATACAAGTTAAATAGTGATAGACAAAAAAAAAACGAAAAAACGAATATGAGTATCTCTTGTTCTTCTTTCAAGTTAGTATAGGGACAGTACTTTTAGGTCAGTTATGTTTTGTTAACTAATCAGAAGATTAGGTTAGTGATAATACTGTCGAAATATATATGTATATTCACGGACTTCCACGATTAGTTAACCAAGTTTTAACCAGTGCTGAAGGTACCAGCTCTTAGCAAAGAAATTGATTGGTTTTCGATATTCTACGGAATACCTGAACTAAACGATTTGGATACTATTAGATTAAAATTTAAATATAATTTATATCTGTAGGTACCTCAAATTTAAATTAAACTTAAAAATGTGTAAATTCAAATTTGGTCTTAAGCCTGTATCAGACAATGCAATTTAGTTGTAGGGACAAAATTGCGGGGATTTTGTTGTGGGGATAAAATTGCATGCTTATTATCACACAATGGGACAGAATTGCTGCAATTTGTTTAGTTTGCAGCAGTATTACCAACTATGCATTGTTTAATATGTAAAATATCTTGTATGTATCTTGTAAACCATTATTTTTTAATCAAGCAAAATATTGCAATGGATAAAAATTTAAAAGTAAATCGCTATATAGCTTTAATAGTTGCTTCAACGGTATTACTTACAACAACCATGATCAACAGTCAACAACAACTAAGGTGGTAATAAACAAATCTTCATAAAAGTAACTAGAATCCATGCAATTTTGTTGCACGGAATAGAGCATGTTCTAATTCATGCAATTCAGTTGTCGGGACAAAATTGTATAGTCTGATAAGAAAAATTTCATGGATTCTATCGCGGCAACCAAATCCCTGCAACAAAATTGCATTGTCTGATACAGGCTTTATAGATCAATTCTGAACACATGATAGTGCGGAAAATAACTACTATGCGGACCACATTCACCGACTAGCATTGAATTGTACCAGCAATGTCTACAAAACTGCTTGTAATTATCTAACTTAAAAGTTAAAATGATATAACTAAATACCATTTTTTGAAAGATACATACATACATACGTGACTTAATTTGTAAATACATTGTTTTACGTTATTTGATAGGATTTTTTTTATTGATTTGAATTAGCTTAATACATATAAAATAAGAAACCAAAAATAATGTCAAAAAAGGATTAAATACTATATACACAGTTTTATGAGATATGAATAATTATAAAACAAGAAAGCAAAAATAAATAGATTTTTTTGTTTATTTTTATGATTTAACTTACACCAAAACATATAAGTTATAAAGGTATTGGAAATTTAAAGTTTGAATACAACTTCTTAAATATAACCATAAGCTACAGAATTTTCAATTTTGCCGTATTTTTTACCTAAAATTAAATTAATTCAGTATAAAAGAAAGTTGAAAGAACTTATGCTTTTAAAGGGGAGATTTCAAATATAACTGCATCTAAACATCTCACTTTTACGTCGGGAAATATAATTTTCTCAAAATAATCTAATGTAGAATTAATTTGAAAAAAATGTGTTGTTTCCATCTTCATACAGTGAACAATTTTTTTTTTTTTCAGCATACTATTGGGTTGATACAGTGGCTCGTGGAGGCATTCCATCCACTGCTTTGCACGGTGGTGTAGATATCGACGGGCATCAAATTTACGTTGGAAGGGCTTTTCACGATGGTGATTGGATTCCGGCGAAAGTCATTCCTGGAAAACAAGTGGCTTATGTAGCTTACGGTGGGGACGAAATAGCTGTAGACCATTTCCAAGTAAACATTTTTATTTCAATACCTATTTTAAAATAGAAACTGAAAATTATCAATTGGATAATGTAGACTGTAAGATACATCGATCTTTTCTACTTTGACTATTGATAGGTGTATTCTGGATCTCTATGCCAGTAGAGTTTATTTAGCCTTTTAGTTAGAAGTGGACTTTGGTAATGGTTTAGTATGCATAGCTCTCAGCTTCCGACTGTTCTATTTCATTGCGCATACTGCAATATCTTCTTTCTTCTGACGAAAATATAGATCATCGTTAAGTCCTTCAATGCTTCATTTAGGAACTTCTGATTTTGCGTCAACTCAGGAATTTCCTATTACCATTTTATTGTTTCAGGTTCTAATAACACAGCTAGCAATGCCGCAAAAGGATTCGGGCTCGTGTAGGACTGTAGATGAATTTGTTGCTTCGATGGTCCACATGGCTAAGATCACATCGTTTTGATTTTTTTTTATCTCCTGTCCTCGTATTCCAGACCACTTTGGTGTTAACAGAAGGCTTTATCTTCCAGTCCCTTTCTGGTATTACAACCTTATTTTTTTTATCCTTTACATTCTGAGAATGGGATGCACCTTTAATTTCTCGTATGGCTGTTGTTATACCCCACTTTGCTGTGGACAATTGGTGGTGTAGTCTATATATACTTATATGTAGCTTTTTTCTGAATAAAGATGGTTAATGGTAGTTTCAATTCAATAAAATTCAACATGAGTGTACATTTTATTAACCCAGACTTCTTTTAAAATTTGTAAAGTAGATGGAGTATCTGTGCCATAGAATTAGTACCTTGCAATAGTTAATGAAGATGCTTTGCATATTAATGTTAAATAAAATAATTGTTTAGTGTTGGTTTTACCTACAAAATACACAAGAAAACACATAGACATCAAACAATAGAGAAGTCGCTAAGTCATTCAAGTGAGTAATTATTATGATTCGATAACTGACAACAATATTTTATAGTATTTCTTATTTCATTTGTAACCTTTCATGGATCCTAAGAAATTAAAAAAAAATATGTGGAAACTGCGTAAAACTTTAGGGTGCTAAAAAACTAGTAATAGGAGATAATTAAAAAATATATTGTTTACTAGGCTTAGTAGATTTTCCATTTACGTAAATGATGGTTTATTTTACTTCAGTAAGCATTTTAAAGAAGTAGTATCTTCTTCGGAATTAACGGGACTTCTTAACAAGCATCACTAGTAAAGACACGCATTATTTTTAGTAGTCCAATAATTACACATTTAATTTTATCATAAATCATACATTGCCGTATGTAATAAAAGTTTATTAATGTAAGAGATAATAATAATACTTAATTGATTCTATAGTAAATATCTTTTTTGTGAAAATCACTTCCGAATTTACTCTACAAGACATTATATTTTCTTACATTTATTAATTATCTTTAAGAATACGTTTCATGTATACATAATCTATTATTGATCAAGATTTTGCATATTTTCAAAAAGAAACTTACAGTTAAGTAATGCGAATATCGAAAAATATGACCTAAGTATTTAAAAAAAATGGCAAATCAAATTAGTCTCTTAGTTTATATTCTTCTTCTAAATAAATTTGTAGGAAAAAAATATAAATTTAAAATCGAATAGATATGTAATTGTTACATATTTATGTATTATACATATAATAACTATAAATTATTATTTGTTTAAATAAAAAATATTTCTTTAATCATAATCTTTATTTTAAGGTTCTCTGTGAACAACGTTTTGATTGGGTTCCTTCTGGTGGAGGCCATATTCCTCCAGGAGCTGTTGAAGGAGGTAGAACGTCAGATGGAGAACCTTTGTACATCGGTCGAACTCATCATGAAGGTTCGCTAACTGTTGGCAAAGTGAGTCAATTATACATCACGAATAAATTACTAAATGTATCTTTTACCATTATCCTATTAAGGCGGATATCCACTTGTGGCATTGCTCCGTAACGTAACAACGAACATGTTACGGCCTGTTGCAAAAGGTGACACGGTTCGCTGAGAAAAGTATGTGTGGTTTTGTTCGTAATATTCATTCCGTAATGTAACAAAATAAGGTTACGAGACGACACAGGAACATAAACTCGCAGTATGAACCTGACTGCAATAATGGATTCGTCATTGCAATTGCAGTTAGCAGCAGCGTCATATATTTTTATTCATTATACAATTTTGAAGAATAAGAAACGGAAATCTCCGGAAATTTTTTCTTTACTACACTTCATGGCACAAACACAGAGAAACACACTCTTCCTAGTCACTGCAGTAAACAGACTGACCCCAGACCATATACAAAAGACCGACGAAACAAAAAATAAGACAAAATCGCATGTGCAACAGGCAACGTTATGGCCAAAAGAGAAACCCCGTCTCAACGTGTAGCAGAAAGTACTGTTGCATCCCTTTGATGCGACGACTAAAAACCGACAAATGATGATTCGTCCCGGATTAGTTACGCGTGTCAAATTTGTTGCACGTACCATGCAACAATTTTCCGTCTCCACTAGCTGTAACGTAACATGTTCGGTGTTACGTTACGGGGCATTTGACACAAATGGATACCCGCCTTTAGAATAATATCTTCTATATTCATATCAAATGCTTCAGTTTTTCCCATATATTCAGGTAATTTAGGTTTATAACCTTTGACACCATCTATTCGGCCCAGACGGAACTGGTTATTTATATTTTTTGTGTTCTTATCCTGAATTTGATTTTGATTGAATTACAAAAGTGTAAAAATAGAACATGTAAAATTACATACGGTGCCGTATCGAAGTTTCTCGATATAGACTGCATTTTTTGTTGTGTTGTGTTCCTTTTTGTTATAATTAATTTTCTCGGTGAGAAAACACATGGCAGGATATATTTTTCTTCACATTCGGAGTCACCCTGTAAATATATACTCATAAAATTTAGTTCTCTGTTTTTTGGCACTTGGCCCTTATCAAATATTATATTTTATTTTTTAATTTTTATTATTTACTATTGATAAAACATGTATGTAGCTGCTTTTTATGTGTGCGTATCTTTTTAATATCATTTAAACTGAATGTTTTTACATTTAATTTCAGGTTCATCCTAGTCACGGAGTTCTGTATATTCCATTTGACGGAAAGGAAATTCCTTCTCCACATTACGAAATCCTTGTGCTTAGACCTTAAATTATGTTACTTTGTCAAGAAATATGCCAGTAGATGAGTAGGAACTTTTGAAATATGTGTTTCCGAGTTGTTTTCGTTTTTATTTCCCTTAAAACAACCTTTAAACAGGTCGAATATTTTTATCATTATTTAAATAATACGCAAATAAACTTTTTGTTACAAATAAAGGTGTCACTATATTTTCCTCAAAAATACATTGCTATCTTTAAGGTGTAAACCAAATAAAGCTGACGTTATTGATTGTATTAAAAAAATGTAAATTAATTTGTCATAGGTATAAAAACAAAAAACAAAAGCAACTAACTAAGAAATCTCTAGTTACATTGATATTAAAATAATATATATTGTTTCGAGGTACACATCAGTTAGTAGACAGTGACCTTTGTATACAGGGTGAATCATACATGTGTATAAAATTATGCCAAAGTTTCTTCAGAGCAAGACAAAGCAATTACTTAAAATGTCAATATGTACTGACATATAGCCCTCTGAATATAGTACCTCGAAGGTAATTTCTCGGAATTATATCTCAAAAGATATTGACGTTTAAGTAAAGGTAAATTGATATAAATCATAAAAAAATATTTAATTTAGTTACAGGATTAGCAAAAAGTGAAGTTTAGTTAGTTAGATCTGAATATCGCCAAATACTCGACTGTCCGTTTGGTGCACTTTTCAAAATTTCTACAAATAAGAAAATAGCACTAAGTAAAAAACTAATTAACGGTGTCCTTAGCCAACCTCTATGTTTTAGATAAAATACAAGTATTCTTGCTTGGCTCTCTCAAAAATTGCCCTGTGCCAAAATTCACTTATAAGGAAGCATGTTGTTAGTGAGATACCCTTCATTATTTATTGTGCTTTGGTTTGAGGAAGTTTTTGTCAAGTTTAATGACTCACTCTGTATAGGCTAAATAAATAACTTTATTAATCCCCGAAATCTGTGGTCGAGGTCTGGGATATTCTCTATATAAGTGAAAAGATAAAATTTCTGTCTCATTATGCCTATCATCCGTTATTTTGACTGGAATGTAGACATTTGGATTCACTTTACTGCTAAATAATTCTAATTAGTTACAGTTATTAAATTTATTTAACTGAAACTTTTTCAGAAATTTATTATCGTGAAAGTCTTCTGGAGTTTAGCATACAATACTATCATTTCAACGGAGTTAACCATTAGCTGCATTAATTACTAAATTAGCATTTAGTTTTTCGCTCTTTTATGTGCCTTTACAATACAATATTTACTTTTTCTCAAACCGGGTACCTATGAATATGGAGTGCAATATGATATACAAGGTGTTCCACGAGAAAGTACACAAACAAGGGAATAGTTCATAAAAACGTTAGTTTCAAAACCTACCGTGTTCAAAACATGACCTACAAATTTTAAAAAACAATCATTTGTTTTAAATATGAATAACTAAAAAATGTTATAGATGATACCTACATTTAGTACTTACAAAACCACGTATTTCTGTATTTCAGTAACAGGTGATGCAAAAATATGAAGAAGCCACCACTTTTCTTGATTGAATTGAATACGGCTTTTTTTAGTAGATAACTTATATTCAGTTGAGAAAAACCATACTGGATAAAGTAAACTCAAATATACGAAAAAATCATCAACATATTTTATGTTCTTCCACTATTTAAAATTCATATACCTGTAAAAGTTTCAAACACAAATTATATTAATGTGATTATACATTACGTTTTTTTTAGAAGTATTCCCATTTGGAAACCAACTACAAAACTTTTACATCTCAAATCGTTGATGTAGAAATATTCCCATACCAATCAGACATTGAAAATTTGCAGTAATTGGATCATTTCGATCAAAACAAATTAAATTGGGCAAACAATTTTAGTTATTACTTCAGTACCCAATCAACTTCTTTCAGCTACTACATAGACAATCTATTTAATATGGATAATAGATGAAGAACCCACTTGTACTGTCATACAGATTCCCAGAAATTCACAAAAAGGAAGTTAAAGACTAAATAAAAAATGTTTTAAACTGGAATAGTAAAAAAGAGTACAAGCCCATAGTCATGAGATAGTTCCCAAAAACTTGATGCAAGTAGAGGGAAATTACTCAAAAATTGAGAATGGTAATTTTTCTACATTAGATTTGTGAATTAAATTTCACTAAATTAAAATGCGCACATATTTAGTATTGAAAAAACTGTACTTTCCACTGATTATGGAGACTATAAACTTTTTAGAATGCCGTTTTGGTTTAAAAAAATTAGCGGACAACTTTTTAAAGAATAGTTAATGATTTTTAATAAATTTATTAAATTAATTAAATTAATTAATTATTAATTAAAATAAATTAAGAATTTAATAAATAAAATCTTTGTGGATAACATTATTATATTTTCCCCCTGGTTGAACTAAAAAATTCCACATCAAAATCTTAAAGGGGAGTTTTAAAAAATTTCAGGAACACAATTTAAAGGTATAATTTGATAAAAGCGAGTTTATGAAATGAGAAGTTGAATTTTTAGGTGATTTTTTTTACATTATTAGGAATCAGGTAAAATTCAATTGCTGAATTATGAATTTTTCAATTCCAGATACACAAAGAAATCAAAAACTTTCTAGGAATGATAGGAATTTACAGAAAATTGATAAATAACTTTCTCTTACTACGTGTTTAAAGAAAGGGAACTATATACTTTTGTTAGTTACCTATGCAGGTACATACTTCTAAACTGAAGAAGACAAAATTTAGAAAATTATAAAACCAGGGCAGTCATTATTATTTCAGAATTACCATTTATTAGGAACAATTTGAGGATGGCAAAAAGAATAAATACCACATTAGATTATCGTAACCAAGATAATCGCTTAGAGAGAAGACTAATAAAATATAATAATATACACATTCGGAAAGTCTCCATGGTACATCGGCCGTTACGTAAGAGCGATAAAGTAAGTCGTAGAAATCCGTGCAATAGACAAGGATGGTTACATTGAAGACGTTTCATAATCTGAATAGTCACTCCCACTTCTAACCCGAAACGGGTGGTGACTATTCAGATTATGAAACGTCTTCACTATAGCCATCTTTGTCTATCGCACGGATTTCTTTACTTTACTTTGTCGCTCTCATGTAAAGTCAGATGGACCATGTGGATTTTCCAGCCCTGTATAAAATTTTTGTTAAAAACAAATTACAGTTCTTTTCAAATTTTAAAATATGTTAAAAAATTTAATTAAAAAATATCAAGACATCATTAAATAATCAATATTTAGGAAAGAATTATTAAATGTTTACTAACTTACAAAATCAACTAAATCAAATTGTGAGTGCTATAACCTTTGTATCTTAATAATATTAGACACAAGACTCGCAGAACCAACAAACCAAGTGCAAAGTAAGGCTTTGTAGAAGGCTTAAAAAAAACAGTATATCCGAAAGTGTTATATGTGCATTCTAGGTGACAACAATACAGTGTGGAACATTATCTCAAGGACAAACATTTCATCATCAATGGAGAAAGAGCAACAACGCGGCATACTCAAGCGTTCGTTGAGATTAGAGTGGAGAGGAAGATGTCCGATCATCCCATTCAGCTCTTCGCCGGGGAGCATACGATTAAACTCCCAGCACCGCAAGCAAATACAGATGTCGGCACTGCCGTTCAACCCATTTTTCGAGGTATGGATGTTAAGACCACCGTAACATACAACCAATCAAAATCTAGGACAATATGTTGTGCGGGTGTGTACTGTACTGTAATTGGTAATTAACGAGTTCCCAATAAAACAGGAAGCATCTGAAAGTTTGATCTTTTGAAAGACATTCCCTTCTCCGTTTTCGATGACGAGAAAAATGATAGTGATGACTTCGTATACTGAAGCCCTTGTGTATTACCCCTATATGGAAAAACTACCCCAATTTTCGGGTTTTCGGACTTGGGCCTGCAAGAGCTTGCTTATCAGATCGATTTTTTTCTTAATAAGAGCATACATGCAAAAATATCTGTAACTGTATCGCGGTTTTTAGAACCCTTATGAGAAAGTACATGCAATGGTCATGCATTTCGATTTTCATCAAGAAAATAATGTAGCTTTATTACTTTTCGGCGAAATATTTCTTTACACTCGTCAATGTAGACAAATAGCACTCAATTAATTTTTTTCCGTACTGCCATGAATATATTTCACTCTACCAACTATTGTTGTAATTACTTTATTGTATGTAATATTGTGTCACTTTCAAAACTTCTTCAATGGTCTAAAAAGTTCTTAAATACTTTTGGGTTACCTTCTGTGATTATGCACAAAATCTTCATTCACCGTTTTTAAATTTTTCTCTTTTTAATTATTTACATTGTCTTGTTTAGAAAATGTGGATTTCTAATACGACGTTGCAAAGATTGAAGATATAAATAGATATTACACGAAGACCTGAAATACAGTAAGGTAATAAGATAGAAGAGCATGGTCGTAGGGCAACCGACTGCGGAAGTGGCCGCCTTGAAGCCGTTTCAGCCGACCTTTGACCTCTTGCGTGCGCTTCAGTCCGCTATGAGTGTACGATTAGGTGCCGTCAATCTGGATCCACTAACCGAACCAACTTCAGAGTTCTACCTTTTAATGATGTAGACTTTTATCTTTATTACTATTTAATCTACTTATGTGCAAGGTTTTTAGTTTTGTTTTTACGTTTACGTATTTAGAAAACTTAACATTCTTACAAAATATACAGGGTGTAAGAAGTTTGACTGCCATTACTTCAGCATGAGATAGAGTAATCATAAATGAACAAAAAAAAATGTATTTTATAAAGGCGGGAGATTAACAGTTTTCAAAATACAGCGAGTATTAGTATTGGGGAGTTTCATAAGAACATGACAACAGCGCTTAACTTATAGAACTGATGCATACCACGTGTGCACGCGGCAGACTTGTCCTACGGAAAAAATGTAAACAACTATTACTGTGAAACATTTAGTAAATTTCAAGAGAACTGTTTTCCAGTTTTGAAATAAATAAAATAAAATGAATCGATTTTGTAGTACGAAGATAATGTTGTGCTTAAATAATCATATGTATTAAAAATAATTTAGGGACTTACCAAAAAGCAAAATTCAGTAACTTTTAAACGCACAAGTACAAAATAAACTACAACATATGTTCACCACCA